TGCCATCGACTATGTTCGCCTCTAGAGGAGGAACCTCGTCGACGTAGGTGCCTGTGGACATCCAGGAAGCCATCTCTGCGTCCATGGCTGTCTGCCACTAAGAGGAGTACTCACCCGCGATCGCCTCAGCGTAAGAGCGCGGGGTAGGGATGTCAAGTGCATCCGGGTCTCCCTCAAGGCAAAGCAGCATGGATGTGAAACGAGGTAAAGTTGCCGCAAGACACGCAAGCTCAAACTGCCTGTCCTCAAGGACGTCACAACCAAGGGCAGGCTCACCCCCGACGGACGGAGGAAAAACAGACTCAGACTCAGCAACAAGACTCGCGACGTAGTCGAGACGACTCCTAGCAGCAAAGTCGACTAGCTCAGTGACTAGGGCAAACGCAGCAGGAGGCTCAAAGTCAGGGTCAGTGACGATAGTAGCAAGGAGACGAGTGACAGTAGGACTGACAGCACGAGCAAGGTCGGACTCAGGGTCATGAACGTCAGGAAGAGAGGATGCCGGAGGAGACGGCAGGGCAACACGCTGTGGAACAAAGGAAGGACGAAGTGCAGCAGGAGGACGAGGACGGGCGACACGACGAGCACGAACAGGTGTGGAGGCACGAGACTCAGGCTCACGATGCTCAGTCAGGGAGTCTGACAGCTCAGTGTAGGGAGAAGGAGCAGGCAGTGGGGAGCCAGGCGGCAACTGTGTCTGAGCTAGGGCAGACGGTGGACACAGGAGAGGTAGAGTGAGGCCAATGGAAGACGGGAGACTAAGAACCTGGCAAAGGGCCGAGTCAGGCGGCGGCAGGGACGACTGCGGCTGCGGGTAGAAAAACGGTCGGCGCGGTGCAGTACCCGTCTCGTTAGCAGCTCCTGTACCTCCAGCACTAGCACCTCTAGTGCCAGCAGCTTCAGCACCTCCAGTACCTCCAGCTCCAGCGCCTCCAGCACCAGAAGCTCCTCTAGCACCTCTAGCACCAGCAGCACCAGCACCTCCAGCACCTCCAGTACCTCCAGCTCCGGCAGCTTCAGCTCCTCTAGTACGAGCACCTCCAGCACCAGCAGCACCAACACCTCCAGTGCCAGCAGCTCCAGCACCTCCAGCACCTCCAGTACCAGCAGCCCGAGGACCTGTAAAACTCCAAGCTCCAGCACCAGAGCGGCCTCGCCGAATGACCCACTCACGAAGCTGCTGCGGTGACGGCGTCTCAAGTCGACTAGGCGGCTGCTGCTGTCCAACGCCAGGACCTGCAGCAGGAGCACCCACGGCCCCACCACCACTAGGACTCGCAGCACCCCCTGAGTCAGCACCCCTAGAACCCTCACCCCCAGTCTCAGCACCCCCAGAATCCTCACCCCCATAACCAGCACCCCCAGAGTCCGCACCCTCAGGGTCCCCACCCCCAGCAGCACCAGAGTCCACAGCGACAGGCTGCGGAGGCGGCGAAGACGACCGAGGCGGAAAACCAGGAGGGGTCTCCAAGCGCGGGGAGCGACGAGTCGCCGCCGTGTCATCAGCAGCGGGGTCACCCACCTCAGCTGGGCCAGAGGTGTCAGAGGAGACCTCCAAAGGCTCAACCAAGGGGGGTGGGTCGACCTGAGACACACCTGAGGGAGCAGGACCCTGTGGGGGGAGGGGGTCTACCGGGGGGGGGACCTGGGACCAAGAAGAGGGGCGGCGGGGAGAGTGGGGAGGACACGTGCGGGTGGAGACGGTAGAAGCAGACCGACTCGTCAAAGGTGACGTCCTGTGAGGACAGGACGCGGCGCGAGGCAGGGTGGTAAAACTGCCAGGGCGGGGCGTCGGTGGGGAAGCCAAGGAAGACGCAGCAGAGAGTGCGAGGAGAGAGCTTGCTCGCGGTGGTATCGCGGACAAGGGAGAGCGCGCCCCTGACCCGAAACGCCGACGCATCGCCAACCTCCCCCGTCCAACCCAGTGTAGGCGAGGTCTCTGGCACAGAGACACGAGGCCAGAGGTTGAGCTGATGCGCGGCGTATCGGACCGCAAACGGCCACAGAAAATGGGGAGCAGCCGCATGGATCATGGAGGTGCGAGCAACCTCCATGATCAAGCCAATGCGATGCTCAGCAATCCCATTCTGCTGTGGAGAGGCCGGAAGCGTGAACGACTGGGCAATGCCCCCCGCACGACAAAAGTCCCGAAAAAGGTAGGAGGAAAACTCACCGCCTCTGTCAGAGTGCAGTCGCAGGACCAAGAGGTCCTGCTGAAACCGCGCGCTCAGCTGGCGACGAACAGCGATGATCCAGTCGATCAAAACACCGCGGACATCCGCCTTGCTGCGCAAGGGGAAAATTGTGGTGTAGCGCGTGTAGTCGTCAACAACCAGCAGAAAGTAGAGCTCCTGGTCCTGTCCACGGACGCAGGCTGGGCCCCACATGTCCATGTGGAGAGTCTGCAGAGGAGCAGTGGTCGGCGGAAACGAGGAGGAGTGAGGAGCGGCGCGCTGCCGCCCCTCGACGCAAGGAAGGCACGGCGGTGCAAGCGAGCGCGAGAGCGGGGGCAGGGACCTAGGGAGGCCAGAGACAAGGAGACGAGAGTGCATGCCACGCATGCGCGGCAGGGAGGGGTGACCAAGACGGTGGTGCCAGAGGAGAGTCTGGTGCGAGAGTAGCCGGCACGAACAAGACGCAGCTAACTGACCCGACGCAGCTACCTGACCCGACGCAGCTACCTGTGCAGACTCAGTGGTCAGTGTGTACAGGCCAGACCGAGGGCCCCAAGTGAACGTGGCGAGGTGCTCGCCAGTGCGTGAGTCCGTACAGATCGCCATAAGCTCACCCCCAGGAGTAGTCACAGTGACAAACTAGTCCTGGAGGACAGCGTTGCTCACCAAGTTCTTAGAGAACGAGGGGAGGTGGAAACTTGTGAGGGAGCCTGAGGGGGCTGCTGGACACGGGAGAACTGTGGAGGCACGCGCTACAACTGGGCCCCTAGAGGGGTCAGCTAGAGAGACCGGGACAGGTGTAGTGAGCGGTGTGACTGTGGTGCAGTCGCGGAAGAAGCAGCGAGTCGCGCCTGAGTCAAGCGTGAATGTGTGCAAAGCCTCTACAGAAACTGCAGCTGTGCTACCAGGCTCACAGGCACCTAGACTAGTAGCCTCTGCACTACCAGGGACGCGTCGCTGAGAAACCCACTCGCGAAGCTGCTGCGGTGAGAGGGTCTCCTGCTGACTCTGCTGCCCCTGCTATCCAGTACCTCCAGCACTATAACCTCCACCACCAGGACGGCCTCGCTGAACAACCCACTCACGAAGCTGCTGTGGCGAGAGAGTCTCCTGGCGACGCTGCTGCCGCTGTTGTCCAGTAGCTCCAGCACGAGTGAAGTCCCAAGCTCCAGGACCAGAGCGGCCTCGCCAAATGACCCACTCTCGAAGCTTCGGCGGCGATAGAGTCTCCGGCTGACACCGCTGCTGTTGTCCTCCCCCAGACGCTGCTACGACTGTGATAGTGGCCATGACAGGCAGTGGCAGTCAGTAGCGACTGCTGTAGTAGTAGCGGTAGTTGCTGTAGTGGCAGGGCAGCGCACGGGCTGCAGGGAACGGCAGTGCGCAGGCTGCAGGGCAGGGCGGCGCGCGGGCTGCAGGGCAGGGCGGCGTGCGGGCTGCAGGGCAGGACGGCGCGCAGGCTGCAGGGCAGGGCGACGCGCGGGCTGCAGGGCAGGGCAGTGCGCGGGCTGCAGGGCAGGGCAACGCGCGGGCAGCAGGGCAGGGCGACGCGCGGGCTGCACGGCAGGGCGGCGCACGGGCAGCAGGGCAGGGCGACGCGCTGGCTGCAGGGCAGGGCGACGCGCGGGCTGCAGGGCAGGGCGACGCACGGGCTGCAGGGCAGGGCAGCGCGCGGGCAGCATGGTAGGGCGACGCGCGGGCAGCAGGGCAGGGCGATGCGCAGGCTGCAGGGCAGGGCGACGCGCGGGCAGCAGTGCAGGGCGACGTGCGGGCTGCAGGGCAAGGCGACGCGCGGGCTGCAGGGCAGGACGGCACGCGGGCTGCAGGGCAGGGCGGCTCGCGGGCAGAGCGCAGGGCAGGGGAGCGCGCAGCAAGCAGGGCAGCGCGCGACGAGCAGGGCGGCGAGCGGCGAGCAGGGAAGCGCGCGGCGAGCAGAGCAGCGCACGACGGCAGCAGCTCCTGGGGCAGTACGTACGGTTGGTGGGCCCTAACGGAGCGATCCTACGGAGGGACCTACTCTGAAACCATGTCGAGAGAACTGTGCTGGAATGGTTGAACTATGCAAGAGTGAGATACAAGTAGTAAACCCTAACTGGGGTTGTACTCTATACTGAGCACCTCACTGTAGCCTAGCAGAACTAACAACATATGAATATGTTTTGACACCCCCGACCCATCTCCGACACGTTTTTCTCCTCGTTCACTGTCTCCTCCTCTCCTCCCTGACCCGTCTCATCTCTCTTCCTCCTGGACTACTCGTCGTGACCCTCGTGCTCGTCCCTCATCCCATGCTCATGTCTTTCACTCTGTGAGCCTCCGTTCTTCTCCCCCTCGTGGTTCGTCTCCTCTCTGGGTGAGTGAGTGGGTGAGAACGAAGTGGGTTAGAAAGTGCTAACCATATTCACTCGCAAAGATCCACAACAACCACCAACATTCAATACCTTTTGTCAAACCCCTCCCCCCCACCCTTCTCCTTCCACACCCTCCCTCCCCATCCCCCCTTCTCAACACACGCATTGCTCGCAACACACACATTACTCCCCCCTGTCGCATAATTGTAATGTCCATCTTTTCTTCAACCCGACAACCCCCTTTCCCTTCACCACACACCTCTCTTTCACACCCGCACCTGCACCCCCAACAACACAACACTTCCCCCTGTGGCGGCACCACGTATCTGTGATACTGATCCGCGGGTGTCAGCACAGCTGCAGCACCGCCCAACATTCAGGGCCGTTTTCCAACCACACTCCCCCCTCACCTTGCCCTTCCCCATCCGCACCCTCCCCAACACCCCCACCCACATCCCCAACGCAATATTTCCCCATGTGGCGACATTACGTGTCTGTTGTTGTCAACAACGGGTGTAAGCACAGCAACAGCGCTGACAGCAAGCGGCTGTGCGGGAAGATCCAGGCGCTGATGCTTCTGGCACGGGAGAACAAGCGGGAGGCGGAGGAGAGGGCACTGAGGGAGGAGGAGGCGCAGCGGGAGGAGAGGCAGAGGCGGGAGGAACGACTTCGTGTTGGTGGGTGGGGGAGAATGAGGGGGAAGGGGGAAGGGGGAAGGGTGAAGGGGGAGGGGGGGAAGGAGAAGGGGAGATGCGTGACGGAATGAGTGAGTGGTGTAGGGTGTGAGGAGAGGGAGGTGGTGAGAGAGAAGGAAGGGGGAGCGGGAGAGAGAGGTGGGTAGAGATTGAGGGAGTGTAGGAACCACACGGTGAGAGGAGTCGGCATTGAAACCTAAAACCCTCTTACATATACCCCTCTATCTTTGCAACATGTCCAATTTAAATCCGGTTCATGCATTAGGGCTCATTCCCTCTCTCCCCAGCATCCGCTCTCCTCCCACTCTATGTCTCCCTATCTCATATCTCCATTCTCTCCCCCCCCCCCGCTGCCCATGTTCACGAGCAAAGTACATTTTCAGGTAACTCTACTCAATACTGTGTGCCCTGACTCAAAAGATATCTCCTTCGCCCTATCTCTCCCCCCATATATCTCTCCTCTCCTCCACCTGTCCTCTTCCTCCCCCCCTTCTCCTTCCCCCCCTTGGTTCCCCCTGGTATTCTTGATGTCTTCCCCCTGCCCTGGCCCTATTTCCCTCCCATGACCCCCCCCCCCCCCCCCCCCCCCCTGGCAGCATCTCTCTTGGATGATGCGGAAGTGGAGGTTCAAGGCAGGGGGAAGGTGGTGGGGAAGAAAAAGGGGGAGAGGAGTGAGAAGGTGGAAAATGAGAAGGGAAGGAAGGGGAGGGAGTGAGAGGTGCAGATGAGCTTGCTGGTTCCTGCTGGGTTGAATAAGAATAGAGTTTTTGTGCCTGATGATGAGAAGGAGGAGGAGGAATGGGAGGAGGGGAAGGAGCCGGAGGGGGAGCTGAGGGTGAGGGAAGAGGGGGGAGAGGAGGTGTGGGAGGTGGGGGGAGGAGGAGGAGGAGGAGGAGGAGGAGGAGGAGGAGGAGGAGGAGGAGGAGGAGGAGGAGGAGGAGGAGGAGGAGGAGGAGGAGGAGGAGGAGGAGGAGGAGGAGGGGGAGGAGGAGGAGGAGGAGCAGAAAGGGAGCAAGGGGGATGGAATGGACATGTGGACGAGAAAATTGTTTGGCGATGGTATATTTCGCCTCGGGAAAAAAAAAGAAAAAAAAAAAAGAAAGAAAAAAAAAAGAGGTGGTGGTAACTTGATTGGCGGTGGTGATGGTATCGCGGGTTGCCAAGGGGAGGGGGATGACAGTGCGGATGGGGAGGATGAGGATGAGGATGAGGATGAGGATGAGGAAGAAGCGATGTTGAAGGAGTGGGAGAAGTATGACAGGGACGCTGGTAGTGATGACAGTGATGGGTTGGATGGATGGGATGAGGAGGGAGAGGGAGGGGGGGGGCGGGAGTAGTGACGAGGGGGAGGGGTGGGAGGAGAAGGTGGAGAGAGAGGAGCGGGAAATGAGTGCGGGAAGTGAAGAGGAGGAAGTTGAAGAGGAAGAGGAGGTGGAGAATAGAAGAAACTTTAAGAGGCTGAAGGGGATTGTTGGAGCATCAAGAATTGACGGTGGTGCTAGGGTAGAGGGAAGAGAGAAGGGCTGGGGAGTGTCAGAAGTACGAGCAGAAAGTTTAGAACAAGAAAGAGGAGTTTCACTAGCAAGCAGTTGGATACATATAGCAAACCCTAATTGGGCTGTACTCACTATGGAGTACCCCACTGCAGGCTAGACAATTATAACATTCTGACACACCCCCATAGCCAAAGTGGGGTGTAATCAGCACAATGAGCAAGCATAGCAGTAGTTCACAAATAAGCAAAGCTAGTGGTAGTCACAGCGGGCAAGTGAGGAGGAGGAGGGACTGTGAGAGGAGAGAAGATGGGAGACGACGGCTGAAGCTGCAGACACACGGGCAACAGGAGCTGCTGGCACAGTGGCTACCAGGACAGAGCCCCGGACTACTGGAGTAACTGGCTCGGCGGCTACGAGGAGCGGCAGGAGCAACGGACCCACGGGCGACAGGCGCAGCAGGCTCTCTGGGCTACCAGGACAGCGCCCCGGACTACAGGTGCTGCGGACGACAAGACGGCAGCCTCCTCTCAGCCTCCCCAAACAGTCCCACCCCCTTGACACACACCCCCTGCTTCACCCCTAACTCCACTTCCACGTCACCCCCCTAGCACCACTCCTTCGTCTCCCACACACCCACCCCCCTCAGCGGCAGCTGCAGCAGTGGGAGACAGAGGAGGAGGAGGAGCAGCGGACCGCGCACACCCGCCACCCCCATACCCGTCACCCCCATACCCTGAGTGTGCGGTAAGCGAGCTCAGGTGTGCGCGAAGCGTGCACAAGCGTGCGGGAAGCGAACTCGGGTGTGCGGTAAGCAAACTCAGGTGTGCGGGGAGGGGGGCCGCAGGGCGTCGCGCGGGTCGACGGGGTCGCCGCGAAGGGCGACGGGGAGCCGCGCGCGGGTCGACGGGGCCGCCGCGAAGGGCGACGAGGAGCCGCGCGCGGGTCGACGGGGCCGCCGCGAAGGGCGACGGGGAGCCGCGCGCAGGTCGACGGGGATGGGCGCGCGAGTCGACGGAACGCGAAACCGCCGCGTGCGCCCAGGGTGCGCGGCGGGCAGGAAACCGCCGCGCGAAGCAGGAAACCGCCGCGCGCCTCGGGGCGCACGGCGGGCAGAAAACCGCCGCACGCCCCGAGCGCGCGGCGGGATGAAAAAACGCTGCGCGCTCCGGGCGCGCGGCAGGAACAAAGGGTCACGCGCCCGGGGCGCGCGACAGCAGTAGAGCAGCGGAAGCAGTTAGGTGGTGGGCCCACCCACAGGATCGACCCAAGGGGGTCGACCTGCTCTGAAACCATGTCAGTAGTACGAGCAGAAAGTTTAGAACAAGAAAGAGGAGTTTCACTAGCAAGCAGTTGGATACATATAGCAAACCCTAATTGGGTTGTACTCACTATGGAGTACCCCATTGCAGGCTAGACAATTATAACATTCTGACAGGGAGAAGTGGAAGAGGATGAGGAAGAATTTGGAGGGGAGGAAGAGGAGGAAGATAAAGGGGAGGAGGATTAGGACGAGGATGATGACGGGGAGGAGGAAGATTAGGGTGCGGTTGCAGCAGCAGGAGGAGGGGGCGTCTGGATGGGAAGATCATGATTTTTTCCTCTCCTTGGATGCCCATGGGGAAAGGACTGGTGGTGGTGGTGGTGGTGGTGGTGGTGGTGGTGGTGGTGGTGGTGGTGGTGGTGGTGGTGGTGGTGGTGGTGGTGGTGGTGGTGGTGGTGGTGGTGGTGGTGGTGGTGGTGGTGGTGGTGGTGGTGGTGGTGGTGGTGGTGGTGGTGGTGGTGGTGGTGGTGGTGGTGGTGGTGGTGGTGGTGGTGGTGGTGGTGGTGGAGAGAAGGAACTGCTACCAGCCAAGGGGTCAACACGTCTGGTGGAAGGGGAGCGAATGGAGAGGAAGAGGAAGAGACAGAAGAAGTAGGCTGAAGAATTAGGCAGAAGAAAGTAGGGTTGGAGGTGTTCCCTTGAGTACATCTGTTGAAGCGTTCGGATTCTCCTGTCTGTTCAAGTTACAGAGTGGTTGAGGGCTAGTGCAAATCATTGCGTTGTTGTCATGACTCCAAATATTCAACGATTCTGCGCATCTAGAGTTCTTGGTACGGGCACGCCGTTGTGATTTATACGGTAACGTTCGATCTTAATCAGACTTTTGACGTATCATGTATTGATTGGACGTGATTGTTCTAACAATGTACATTACACTACATGGGTGGACGAAGCAATAAAAACGCATTGTTGAGTAGTAAAATGTCAATGTACTCCCCATCAGGCTGTATTATATCATAGTAATTACTTAAGTTATAGTAATTCGGTACACCCGAATATTATAGGTGCTGTGTAAGGAATTTTCTCGGATTCCTTACCGGGTCACACTGTACGCGTACAACCCCAGTTTTCGGAAACCAGGCTCGGTCCGACGACCTTGCCTTCCAAACCACCATCGCGTCGCCTTCGAGTTTTCCATCCCCGAACCTGCACCCAACCATCTCGCGACCCCGCGACCGTCGCCTAGCTAGCTCTGCTATATTAGTCCTAGGCTTCATTATTTGCTCGACGTTGTGATCACTTCCGCGATATTGCATTCTGCGCACTCTTCTTTCGTACAACTCATAACATTTGGTATCAGAGCTACTTTCCTAGGTTACCCTCGCGTTTCCGGGGTAGTTTGTATAAGGGGAGCAATAGACTTGGTAGGCTGCAGAGCGGTCGGCCTGTGAAATAGATACGATTATTTCACTCCGACTACGATAACGTTTGCGCCTTCATCAAAGTCAGAAAAATCGCTAGCCAACCCCTGCCCGTCCGACGAAGCCTGAGAAACATGCAGCAGGCCGAGTTTGACGCGTTCATGCAAGAATTCCGGGCGATGCATGCCAACTTACAGACCATGTCTGTGGAGATGGAGCGCCTGAGGAAGTAAAACGCCGAACTACACCAGGCTCGTGGTGAAGCGCGCCAGGAGTCGCCTGTCGTTGAGGACGCAAGTAGCAGCTCCAAGCCAGACGAGCGGGTCTGGAGCGAATTGGAAGGCTCCATGGATGCGGACGATGCGAGGCAGGCAAAACAGCAACAGTCACCGCAACAGTCGCGTGCAGCGCCGACACGTGCAGCAGCGACAACCCCGGCGACGACAGCAGCAGCGGCAACAGTCCCAGCGGCAATGACAGCTTCAACAACTGTCAAGATTAAGCCGACAAACCTGCCCCCGTTTAACCCGAGTGACAAGTTCGTCACTATTTCTGCATGGTTGTTCGGTGTGGAGGTGTTTTTCAATGTTGTTCTGATTAACGACGATGCCACCCGCATTAATTTCGCAGTATCACTATTGCGAGGACCTGCGCTGGAGTGGTGGCGACGAACGTTGCAAGACGAAGGGACTTCGGCAGGAATAGCACGTGCAAACGACGGGACTTCGACACCTGTCATGCAATGAGCAGCTTCGATTTTCGGGACGGCCACGATACGCACATGGAAGGAGTGGGGCGCCGCCTTGCGAACCAGATTCGAGCACGTATCCGCCTCAGATTATGCTCGCATGAAGCTGCGTGCCTGGAAGCAAGTGACTTCGGTCCAAGACTACACTAGCCATTTCTGCAACTTGGCAGACCAAGTGGACGACATGAGCGATGCGGAGCGGTTGGATCGCTACGTGGCGGGCCTGAAATATGAGATACAGTACGAGGTCCGACGAACGCGGCCACGCACATTTAACGACGCCGTCCAGGAAGCCGAGTCAATGGATGCGCTAATGCAGTGGGCGAGATTGAGCTTCCGGGAGGGCCCTCGATTTTGTGGATCGACTCACCAGCCCACGATCAACAGCGTGGATGCGCCTAGCCGAGCCATTGGGCCGTGCTTTGCATGCAACCAGCTGGGCCACCTGAAGAAAGACTGCCCGAAGTTTAAGCAGGGGAAGAGGAACGACGGAGAAGGGTCGGGAAAAGATACGAGTCAGTAGCAGACGGGCGCCCTGCTGACGAGACCCTTCGCCCAGCAATCACCATCCACACCGAGTCGTGGTACCGATCAGAGCTATCGGCCGCACCCGGACGAATAACATGGGTGAACACGTGGACTACCCTGTGCTGGTGGTGGGGAGGGTTAACGGCTACAAGATAAAAATATTCGTTAACGGAGGGGCGAGCCACAGTCTCGTTAACCTGGCAACGGCCAAAAAAAATGGGGTGAAGCTGAACAGGTGTCTGCCGGAGATTGATGCAAGGTTGGTGAATGGGACACCACTGGCCATTCGAGATGAGGCGCGAAAATTTCGGATTAAGTGTGGCGACAATTTCGGGTTCGGCATGAAGATGCTGGTGACGACTTTGGACGGCTACGATGTGTTGCTGGGACGAGACTGGCTGCAGCGATATAATCCGACAATCGACTGGACGACGGGAGCGTGCGCTGTGCAAGGAAATACGGGGCTGACGACGCTTCCGAAATGGACGGACCCAGAGCCTGTGACGACACATGTCAACGCCGTCACCATGCGGCGAGTGATCAACAGTGGGGCTCAAGGCTACGTTGTACACCTGTACGAAGTAGTGACCACCGAAAAAATCGCCGACATCGACACGCTCTGCGCGGCAGTCCCTGAGGAGCTGGCGAGCATCATTCGGAGGTATCCCGAAATTTTCGCGGATGACCTACCCAAAGGTCTGCCACCTCAGCGTCCGGAAGATCATCGGATCCAGCTGGAACCTGGCGCGCAACCCACCGTTCGGACGCAGTGGCGGCTCAGCCAACCAGAGCTCGACGAGTTGCGAAGCCAACTGGACTACTTGCTTGCCAAGGGGTTCATTCGGCCAAGCACGTCGCCAATTGCAGCACCAATACTGTTCACGCCGAAGAAGGACGGGGGCCTGCGCATGTGTATTGATTATCGGGCGCTGAATCAGTTCACAATCAAATCGCGTTACCCGATCCCGCGAGCAGACGACCTACTGGATCAACTTCGCGGGGCTCGCTTACGCTACCGATGATTGCCCAAAGACAGCTTTTCGCACACGCTACGGCAGTTACGAATATACAGTGATTCCGTTCGGACTGACCAACGCGCCCTCGACGTTCCAGTTGACTATGAGCGGGGTCTTCAGGGACATGCTGGACAAAAAAAGACATCATTAATCTCGACGACATTCTGGTATGCAAGACGCAAGAAGAACATTTGACGGACTTGGAGGAGGTGTTCCGGCGCTTACAGGAGAACCGGCTCATCACGAAGGGATCTAAGTGCGAGTTCCTGAAACCGGAGTTGGAGTTTCTGGGGCACGTGGTTTCGGGCGAAGGCATTAAAATCGACCCCGCAAAGTGGACGCAATCTCTAAGTGGAAGCCGCCGACTAACATTCCCGAGTTGCGAAGTTTTTTGGGTTTCGTTAACTACGTTCGTCGTTTTGTACCGAACATGGCAGGGATTACCAAGCCACTAACCGGCCTGTTGCACAAGGACACCTATTTTCAGTGGGGGGAGAGAGAGCAGTCCGCCTTCGACACGCTCAAAAACATTTTGAGTTCACCCCCGGTCCTCCGCCTCGCCGACCCTGTTAAACATATATGCTATAGCTTGTTTAGGCTGTAGTGGGGTAGTCAATATGGGGTACAACACTTTAGGGTTTCACTACTTGTACCCAACATCCTGCTAATGCAATCACTTCTTGTTTCTAGTTTCAACATGGTATCAGAGCAGGTCCTCCGTTAGGACCGGTTTTCTTAGGGCCCACCACACTGTCACTGCTGACTGCCCCTGACTGCCCTCGCGCCCTCGTGCGCACTGTCCTACCCGCGCCCTCGTGCGCTCTGCTTTGCTCGCGCCCTCGAGCGCCACCCTGAATAACGCGCTGCTGCCGATCGCGCGCCGCCTGTTAGACGCGCACGCAGCCCAGCACAGCCCCGTGCAGCTCCGCGCGCTGCCCACTAGCCGCCCACGCCGCCCGCTAGCAGCCCGCGCGGCCTCGTGCAGCTTCGCGCGCAGCCCGCACGCCGCATGCGCAACCCGCACACCGCACGTGCAGCCCGCAAGCCGCCCGCGCGGCCCTGTGCAGCTTCGCGCGCAGCCCGCTAGCAGCCCGCGCTAGCCGCACGCAGCTCGCGCAGCCCGCTAGCCGCACGCACGCCGTCGTGCAGCCCCGCGCGCAGTCCGCAGGCCGCCCGCGCTAGTCGCAAGCAGCCCGCGCGCGCTCGCAAGCTGCCCGCGCGCAGCCCGCAAGCAGCCCGCGTGCGCCCTGCCTGCTCGCATCGCGCCGCCCTGCCCGAGACGCGCAGCCCCAGCCGAGCCGCGCTGCCCAGCCGAGCCGCGCCGCCCTGCCCGAGCCGCGCCGCCCTGCCCGAGTCGCGCCGCCCTGCCCTATCGAGCTGCGCTGCTGCTACTGTCTGCTACTGCAGCTGCTGCTGCTACTACTGCTACTGCTACTGTTACTACTGTTGCTACTGATTCTACTGCTGTTACTACTACTACTGCTGCTACTGCTGCTACTGCCAGTATGGCCAACCCCACCGTTCTCGCGTTCGATACTGAGGGCCGCCCGATCCAGTTTGATGCCTGGTTCGACGATCTGCACCTGTTCCTACAGATTACAGCCAAGGACGATATCTCACTGTTCGATCACACGTCTGGAGCCTCCCTCGCACCTGCTGAGACCGCTGACAGCTCGATTCGCTCACATTGGCAGACCCGTGACGCGCACGCTCGCCTAGCCGTTCGCAGCCACCTGCCGATAGACCAGCGAGCGCACTTTGGCCAGCATACGACCGCTAAGGCGCTATACGACGCGGTAGTTGCACGCTACTCCTCCCCTGCCACTGCTGCGATCGGTCGCCTCTTGCTGCCCGATCTTTTCCCCGATCTAGCCGCTTTTACCACAGTCGCTGACCTCATCACTCACCTCCGTACTAGTGACACTCGCTACCGCGCTGCCCT